CAGGTCAGAGACAGACGTGTCCAGGTCAGAGACAGACGTGTCCAGGTTCCTTCAGCTCTGACCAGCTTCCTGCTGAATCCTCCCCACACCATGCTGCTGCCGCCGCCGTGCTTCACTGCCGGGGCGTGTCCTCTGAGTTGTTAACTGTCACAAAGTTTCATTTCTCGTCTCATCCGACCACAGCAGCTTGTTCCACATTTAAAGAAGTGTTTAAATATTTTCCTTTTTTATTATTTTGTGTTTTTATTTCACCAAGTTTAGATGGAACGCACCATTTCTGTGTCTGCAGGGACGTTCTGACATTCGGTGAAGGAAGCGTCATTTCAAGGGCATGTTTTGTGGAGAAGGAAAATATTTCTCCTCTGATTGGTTCACAAAAAAGATTATTTTTTAAATTTCTGTGACTTTCTGCACAAAAACATAAACATTGTCTCATTTTACCCGTTATCTCCTAAGAATGGAAAGATAAGCACCAGGCTGTGATGAGTCATAGTTCAGTTTGTTGTTGACCCGTTAAATAAAGATTACTAACCAACTTTTCACCTGGTTGAGAACAAGTGTTCTCCTCTTTGGTGACCTCTGCAGCTGGTTGGAGGTCACGTGTCTGTACATGTGGAGGAGCTCTCAGGGTTCAGCTCCTTCTCCTGTTTCATGGAATAAACTGTTTCTTCCAGTTTCTTCTGCTTCTTTGTTCCGAGTTCTTGTAAACGTCAAGAACACAAGAAGCAGAGTTTTCTACAGACGAACCAGCTGGCCTTTACTTCAGGCATCCAGAGAAATAAAAGCAGAGCGGAGACTCCCGAGTGCTGCTCTGTGAAAATACTGAGTCTCAGAAAGTCCTCGGGTCGTTCCGGCTCTGAACCAGGAAACAAGATCGTCTCAATGGAGCTCCTTCTGCACCCGAGGCTCCTTCAGCTGCAGAACAACAAGCTGCAGCTGAAGGAGCCTCGGAAGCAGCTAAACCAACGAGAAGGACGGGAGCAGGAGGAGCAGGAGCAGGAGCAAGAGGAGCAGGAGCAGGAGGAGCAGAAGGAGGAGGAGCAGGAACAGCAGGAGCAGGAGGAGCAGGAGAAGGAGGAGCAGAAGCAGGAGGAGCAGGAACAGGAGGAGCAGGAGGAGGAGGAGCAGAAGCAGGAGGAGCAGCAGGAGCAGGAGGAGCAGGAACAGGAGCAGGAGGAGCAGAAGAAGGAGGAGCAGGAGTAGGAGCAGGAGGAGCAGGAGCAGGAGCAAGAGGAGCAGGAGGAGCAGAAGGAGGAGGAGCAGGAGGAGCAGAAGCAGGAGGAGCAGGAGGAGGAGCAGGAGCAAGAGGAACAGAAGCAGGAGGAGTCTCCCTCTGACCTGCAGGAGTCAGGTTCCTCCTGTGAAGCTGGATGTTGGAGGTGAAACAGGCGGTGTCTGCAGAGCCGGTGGAGTCTAATGTCAGACAGAGCTGCAGAGCTGAAATTAGACCGAGCCGAGTCATAATCACCTTCCACTGGAAACATCACCTGCTCAGAGAGCTCAGCTCCAACAAGATTCATGCTTCAAAATTAAAAACTCACCTGTTCGTCTCTTTGTGTTCCATTGATCAAGAATATTTTAAATGTTACAAATAAAATCCAGCAGATACTGAAACTAAAACTTCCCTCCAGCCGCTGACACGTTGCATGAAAATGAACATTTCAAACAAAACTGCTGAAGAATCTAACGGCCAGGTCCTCTAGAAGGATTAAACAAATTAATTACAAAATGTGAATGTTTTTTATTTCTATCATTTATTATTTATTTTCATTATTTATTTTTATTTATTATGTTTATTCATCCAGAGGACATGACTCAACGTTGTTCGATTACTTACCTGGATTATTGATCCGGTCTCATCAATCAGGTTTCTCTTGTGAATGAGGTTCAATGGGATTTACCTGCAGAAATAAAGTTTGACTGAGTTGAGCAGCATCAGGACATGAGCTGAAGAAGGTTCCTCTCCATCACACATGAGCAGATCCACTCCAGTGGGTTGAAGGTCAGCCCTTCAAAATAAAGCTCAGTCCTTTCTCTGCACAGAGCCGAGCTCCTTCCAGCACGGATCATCTCTTCCATCATGGATCATCTCTACCAGCACGGATCATCTCTTCCAGCACGGATCATCTCT